ACAAGTTGTTGGTCTTGCAACATTTTATTTTGTGATTGTCTGCATTTCTATGGCCAAGGTCATATCATCCAACTACAGATCTTTCCTCTTTGTTTTCAACTTTTGCATATTCCAGTCACCAGTAGTTGTCAGCACATCCTGGAAAGAAGGACTTGCTCTCAATTTCTGGGGGGAAAACCTTACAGAGAGCAGCAGAACATTTCTCTGGCATGTAGATCTTCTTTACTGTTGTCATCCGAAAAGTTGTTAGGAGCCATCTTTTAAAGCTGGAAATGTTTTATTTAGCATTTCCGGTAGGATGTACAGCCGGATTGCGCCTGTACCTCCTAGAAGGTTCAGTCACTCTTAAAAAGTTTAGATACATGAAGAGCTCTTAATTGAAAATTACAAGGTTCTGTCTAAAAAGTCTCAGAGGATTGGAGACTTGGAAATTATTTCAAGAAAGTGTTGCTTGGTTTGTGGAAGGACATCCTTTCTCCTTTTCCCTCTTTCTTTCGTTTCAACCTGATAGAGAAGAGAGTCTACATCGCCAGAATGCTTTAAGTGTGTCCTTCGCCAGAGAACTCAGAGGGGTCACAGTGAAAGAGAGAAATCCATCTTCTTCAAGCCTTAAAACCACATTTTTGAGCCCCAGTCTGAAGAAGTTAGACTTGCTTTAAATCTCTGTTACCTACCTCGTTGTGTTTATATTTGCTTTCAACTCTACTCATACCAAGTATATTTTCTTCCTCACCATTCATTGCATTTTTTAAAAGTTGTGATTAATGTGATTTTCCATTTTTAATGTATATATTTTTTGTTTGTGTGACATTGTTTGCAATCCATATACTATAACTCTAGTCTTCTAGAATGCTACCCTATGTTTACCATTTCCATTTGTCCTGCCATATCCTTTCTGCCTTTAGAGATTTATCCCGAGGTGAATGCTGTTCTTTGGATCTCATATGGTTGATTGCTCTGATCTCATATGGTTGATTGTTCACCTTAAAGGCCTATCAGTCCTTTGAGAGATGAACCATGAAGTGAATTCCGTTCCAGGCCTAAATGATGCCCGAGGGCCATAGTGTTGGGGTTTTATCAGACCAGTAAGTGTGGTCTTTTTTATGATTTTGAGCTCGGTTCAACATTCCCCCCTACTTTATTCAGGACCCTCCTATTGTGAAGCCGTTCAAAGCAGTCAGAATTTCTTCTGATCTCAGGGCCATGTTATTTTAAAGTGCTGTCAGATTGATTCTGATTCACAGCGACCCGACCCGGTGTGCAACAAAAGCAAACACTGCCTGGTTCTGCACCATCTTCACAATTGTATCTTGGAACGAGTTGTTGGAGCCACTGTGTCAGTCCATCTCATTAAAGGACTTTGCAGCCCCTTGACTTTACTAAGAGTGATATCCTTTTCCAGGAACTGCTTTCTCCTAGTAACAGGCCCAAAGTACCGGAGACCAATTTTTACCATTCTGGTTGTACTTCCAAGACGTATTTGTTTGTTTGTTTTGGCAGTCCATAGTACTTTCAGTATTCTTTGCCAAAACCACAATTCAAATGCACTGAGTTTTCAACAGTCTTCCTTATTCAGTGTTCAACTTTCTCAAGCATCTAAGGTTATTGAAAATACCATGGCTTGGGTCAGGTGCACCTTAGTCCTCAACATAACATATTTGCTTCCAACCCTTTAAAGAGGCCTATGCAGCATATTTACCCAGTGCATCCTTTAATCTTTGGACTGCTTCCATGAGCATTGATTGTGGATCCAAGCAGTACAAAATATTTGACAACATCAGTCTCTTTTCCATTATATTACAATGTTACTTATTGCTCCAATTGTGGGAATTTTGGTTTTCTTTACATTGCGTTGTAATCCATATTGAAGCCTGAAATGCTTGATCTTCGTTAGCAAGTGATTCTCATTTACTTCATTTTCAGCAACCAAGATTGTATCATCACAGGTATGTTTATCACAGATGAAAGCATTCTTTAATCCTCATGCTACATTCTCCTTCACATATTTCAGCTTCTCAGATACTCGGCTCAGTGTACAGATTGAATAAGTACTGTGAGAAGATACACCCCTGATGCATACCTTTCTTGACTTTATGCCATGCAGTGTTTCCTTGTTTTGCCTCTTGATCCAGGTATTTGTTCTTCGTGGCCTGTTCTTAATCTGAACGTTCCACTGAAATCTGTTCATCTTGGGTGACCCTGCTGGTATTTGAGATACCAGTGCTGTAGCTTCCAACATCACAGCAACACACAAATCACCACAGTACGTACAACAAACAGACAAGTGGCGGTCATGGTCATGGAAGTTACACTATATGAAGAAGAATGTGGATCAAGATTGAGGAAGTCTCATTAACAACTTGTGATATGCAGACGTCTCAACCTTGCTCTCTGAAAATGAAGGGGACTTAAGTATTTACTAATAAAAGTCAAAGACTATTCTGCAACATAAAGTAAACAAAAATTCTCACAACTGGATTCATAAGCAAAGTCATGATAAACAGAGATAAGATTGAAGTTGTGAAGGATATTATTTTACTTGAATTCACAATTAGTATCCATAAAGTTTTTTCTGAAGATCATCTAACAACTGTTGCAGAAGTACATTGACAGGGAGCTTCCAAAAGTTCAGCCCAGATTCGCAAGAAGACGTGGAGCAAGGGATAGATATCATTGTTGATGTCAGATGGATCCTGGCTGAAAGCAGAGAATACCAGAAAGATGGTTATGGGTTTTATTGACTGTGCAGGGCCTTCATCTGTGTGGGTCATAACAAACAGTGGGTAGCCTTGCGAAGAATGGGAGTTCCATGACACTTCATTTTGCTCATGTGGAACCTGTACCCAGATCAAGAGTCAGTTGGGTGAAGAACAAGGGACTATTGCGTGGTTTCACATCAGGAAAGGTGTGCAACAGGCCTGGATCCTCTCACCATACTTATTCCATCTGTATGCTGAGCACATTTTTAGAGAAGCTGGATAATACGAATAGTAATGTGGCATCAGAACTGGAGCAAGGTTTATTAACAACCTTCAATATGCAAATGATAAAATCTTGCTTGCTGAAAGTGAAGAGGACTTGAAGCACTTGCTGATCAAGGATGGCAACTTTCACTATGGATTATAACTCGGTGTAAAGAAGACTAAAATCCCCACAACTGGACCAATAAGTAACATCGTCGTAAATGGAGAAAAGGTTAATGTTGTTAAGGATTTTTGTCTTGCCCAGTCAGTTCTCACGGATGCTTTGCATTGGGTAAATCTGCAACTCAAGGCCTCTTTAGAGCATTAAAAATCAAGGATGTTACTTTTACAATGAAAGCGTGCCTGTCCTACCCATGGAAATTTCAGTTACCTCTCATGCATGTAAAAGTTGGGTATTGAATAAAGAAGACCAAATAAGAAGCGATGCATTTCAATTGTGATGCTGAATGAGAACGTGGAAAGTACCATGGACTGCTAAAATGACAAAATGACCTATCTTGGAAAAGGGAAGAAGTACAGCCACGGTCCTCCTTAGAGGCGAGGATGGTGAGACTCCGTTAGACATACTTTTGACATGTTGTCAGGAGCGATCGGTCCCTGGAGAAAGACACCATGTGGACTCACGTGTGGGAACAATTGTGAGGATGGCGCAGGACCAGGCAGTGTTTCGTTCTGTTGGGCATAAGGTCACTGTGGATAGTAACCGATTCAATGACACCTAACAACATCTACGAATTCCCTGCCAGCCCTCCACCCCAAACAACAACAACAACAACAACAACAACAAATACCCATCGAGTTGATACCAACTCATAGCGACTCTGTTGAACAGGATAGAGCTGCTCCTGTGAGAATATCCATGAAAGCTGCTGTCAACTCAAGTGATGTGTTCCATGTGTCAAACGACTGCAGAAGACCCCTATCATGTTTAAAGTAAAGACATCATCTTGACAACGTAAGGTTGACCCCCGTTATTTTCAGCTGATTTCTATGTCTGTGAAGGGTGGACACTGAATAAGGAAGACTTGGCGAAGAGTTGAGGCATTTAATCATGTTATTAGAGAAGAATTTTGGCTACACTATGGATTGTCAGAAGAACAAACAAATCTCTTAGTAAAGTGCATCTAAATGCTCCTTAGAAGGAGGATGTGAGATTTTATGTGATGTGCTTCAGGCATGTTGTCAGGAGGGGCAGTCCTTAGAAAGGACGTAAAGTCGAGGGCTGGCGAAAAAGAGCAGACCCTAACTGACGGGGAGGATTGACACCGGTGGCTGCAGCAGCACGCAGGCGGCAGGACGGCCATCGTTTGGGTCTCTCTGGAGTGTGACATTGCACTTTACTAGGATTGCTATGCTCAAAAATAAGAAATAAAATCACATGTATTGGCAAGGATGTGGAGACACTGGAACCCTCATTCACTGCTGATGGAAGTGAAAAATAGTGCAGCCTCTGTGGAAATAGTTGAGGAGTTCCTCAAAAAGTTATATAGAGAACTAACCTTCTTATGACCCAACCATCCCAACCCCGGGTGTATCCCCAAATACACCGAAAGCAGAACACCACGAGAAACCCAAACACCAGTGTTTGTTGCAACACTTTTCACAAGTGTCAAGAAGTAGAAACGACTGGCTAAAGGCATGAGCGAAATACGTACACACAGACCACGGAGTACACTCAGCCATAAAGAGAAAGGAAGCGTTGATGCATGCCACAGCATGAATAACCCTGGTGGAAAACATTATACAGCGTGCGATGACAACATGATAGACACACTATCACTGAAGTACACATGTAAACATCGTTGATAAGTGCTTTGTTATATATTTCATTCTGTCTGTCAAGTATTTTGGTTTGAATAGTATTCGATATTGTCATCTTACGTCTAAGGAAGATTTTAAAGACTACTAGATAAGTGCTAATTCTTGGGTTAATGATATCATTTCACTTGATGATAGGTTTGTGTTTTAGTTAATAACTATTTGGGTTTGTTTTAAATTTTGTCATTTTCCCCACAGATGAGCTCAATGCCACCCACCAACACTGTGTATTGGCTGGTTCGCAACCTCGGTTTAGTTCCACCCACCGAGTTGCAGAGGTAAGTGTAAATAAAATGTGATGCAAACCTAATTGGATGTGACAGAAGTGGTTGAATGAGCAATTTATCATGGAGCTTTGGAAAGGTATTTGTTCGGAAAATTGCTTCCATCTAACGTTACGTTAGCCTTTATTTACTTGCTTTTTATCACTGAGTTGTATTGGCTAAAGTTAAAAATGTGCATAGGATTGGATTAAGAATATTCTGCTGATTTGGTTCCTAGGACAGTGAATACCCTGGGCAGGTGTGACTAATTAGAGGCTTTCTACAGTTTATATGATCGGTCAAGGTCAAGGACAAGCGATGGCCATAAGGAAATGGATGAATTCATGTGCTTGTGCAAGTTTTAGTGGTGACGGGGCTCAAATGACTGAGAATCGACATTGCTCTTAACTTTTGGTCAGATTTCGGGGCATGTGAACATAACTTAAGGAGAAAGTTACACTTGTGCCAAGGGATTTCTGAACTCCACAGTTGTGCTTCTAAGCCAAGCTATGTTGCTAGATTCTACCACCACTTGCAGAAGCTGAAGGGCAGCTAATCAGACTAGGTTAGAATGGAAACTGAGCAGGTGAGAAAAACCCGAGCTGTCACTGAGGTGTACTGTATGCTCCCGAGTCCCAGAGAGCACAGAGGAATGGAAACGGACGATAGCTTGTCCTCTTCCCAAGCTTGTCATCACTGCTTTCGTTAGTTATTTAGTTGTTGTTAAAGTGCATTTGAGTTTGCTGTGACTTATTGTGACCCTGCTTACAAGGGGTCCTAAGCCATCCCCACAATTGTTATGCTTGAGCCCATTGTGCCAGTCCTTCTTGTGGAGGGTCTGTTTCTTTTTCACTCAACCGCTGCCAAGCTTGATGTCTTTGTCTACGCAGTGTCTTCCCCATCACATGTCCATCATGCGTGAGAAGTCTTCTCCTTGTTGCTTCTCAGGAGCATTCTGGGCATACTTCCTCCAAGACGGATTGCGTTTGCCTTCCAGCAGCCCATCCTTCACCAGCACCACAATTCCTAACGCACCGATTCCTTTGTTATTCGTATGCATTGTCTGCCTTTCAAAGGCCTGTGAGGCCATCGAAAGGAACATGACGTGGGTCAGATGTACCTTCGTCCACAAAGTGACATCTTTGCTCTTTAACACTTTTTTTTTTAACTATCATATACACTCGAGTATAAGCCGACCTGAATATCTGCTAAGGCACCTAATTTTACCACAAAAACTGCATAAAATATGCTGAAAAGCTCACCTTATGCACGCATATATATGGTAGCTTGTATGGCACAAAGACTTTTAGTCTATTTCAATGGTACTTTTTCCCCTTTTATAACCTCTCAGACCAGTTTTTACTTCCTATGAGTAAGGGACATGGAGGCGTTTTATTTATTTTTTATTTTTTGGAATCTGGAGGGTTTTTAAAAAGCTGTGACCATTCCCTCTCACTCATTTGTTTTGGAATGATTATTATTTCCTTTTATTTGTGGTATATACTTGCAAAGAAAATCATCCTGTATGTAGTTGCAGAATCCATCTCATGAAAAGAGTGACTGAATCCCCGTCACCCCCGTGTGTGTGTGTTTCTTTCTCCTGCACTTTCCTTTCGCCCATCCAGCCACCTTTCCCTCACCTCTCTGCCTCCTCCCTCCCCCCCTCCCCAGAGCCCTCACCTTGTCATAATCGTCAAAGTCTTTTCTTTTGCTGTGAATGCCATTTTCTTTTATAGTAATGGTGTCTTGAAATATTTATCTTAATAAGATTGACTAACTTTTCTGAGCTTAGTGTCCTCCAGTTTGTCTGTGCCACGAGGTGTTTGACAGACTCCTCATTGCTTTTTAAGGATGCATAATCTTCCATTGTGTGTATGTACCAGAGTTTGTTTATCCAGTCCTGCAAAAGGGGTTTTTGATTGTTTCCATCTTTTTTGCTATTATAGAGATGACTGTGATAAACATGGGCATGCCTATGTCTGTTGTTTGCTTTTTATTTCTTTAGGGTGTATGCAAAGTAGATAGATTTCAGGATTGTTCTTTAACACTTTAAAGAAATGCTGTGCCACAGATTTTACCAATGTAATGCATCATTTGGTTTAGAATTCTAAATTAAGCAGAATTAAGTGTCCTGGAATACTCATTATTTGCAGTAATAGCCATAGTTTATTATGATTGACACAGTTTAATGCCTTTACATAGTTAATAAAACACAAGTAATAATATTTCTGACATTCTTCACTCTGTTATCCCTTGTTCCATGCCATCTTCTGAATCAAACTTGAGTTTCTGACAGCTCCCAGTTGATACATTGCTGCATTCATTTTTAAATTATATTCAAAAACATTTTTCTGGCATGTGATATTAAAGATCTTGTTTTATAATTTATGCATTTGTATGAGGTGGTTTTCCTTTGGAATGGGCATATATATATATATACATATATATAATCTTCCAGTCAATTAACGAAGTAGCTGTGTTCAGACTTTCTTCGTGTAAGACTTGTGAGTGCTTCCAATGCTGCATCAGGTTTTTGAAACATTTCCATTGGTATTCTGTCAATTCCTGGAGTCTTGTTGTTCACTAGGAGCCTTCGTGGTGTAGTGGCTCAATGTTGGACTGCGATCCTCATGGTCAACAGTTTGAAACTAGCAGCAGCTCTTAAGACTCGGCTTTCTACTCCCATAAACAGTTACAGTCTTGGAAACCCACAGGGGGTCATTATAAGTCAGCATTGACTCAATGGCAGTGAGTTTTTGGTTTTGTTTTTCAAGAATTTCTTCAGTGTAGCTTGGATTTCTTCTCTCAACACCATGGTTTCTGATCATATGCTGCCTCTTGAAATGGTTGAATGGTTAGTACAATGGCCTTCCATTTTCTTTAGATGCGTCCTGCCTCATTCAGTACTTCATTATTGCAACTCAAGGCTTAAATTTTTTCTTCATTTCTTTCAACTTAAGATATTCTGAATGAGTGTCCCCCTTCGGGTTTCCTAACCCCAGTTCTTTCCACATTTCATTATAATGCTTTACTTTGTCTTTTCAAAATTTTCTTTCAGCTCTTTTACTTCATTGTTTATTCCGTTCACTTTAGCTATTCTTTGCTCAAGACCAAATTTCAGAGTCTCTTCTGACATCCACTTTTGCCTTTTCTTTCTTTCCTGTCTCTTTACTGACCTTTTGCTTTCTTCATAGATGATGTTCTTGCTCTCATCCCATGACTCATCTGGTCTTTTGTTGTTAGTGTTCAGTGCATCAAATCGGTTCTTGTGATGGTCTCTGAATTCAAGGGAGATGAACTCAGGCTTGTGTTTTGCCTCTCATCGGCTTGTTTCATTTTCTTCCGCTGCAACCTGTGCTTTCCTGTGCAACCTTTCCTAAGAACAATTCATGATCTGTTTCACAGCTGACCCCTAGATTTGTTTTGGCTGATGATATTGAGCTTCTCCATCATCTCTTGCCAGAGATGCAGCCAATTTGATATCTATGTATTCCGTCTACTAAGGTCCATGTGTATCGTCACAATTTATGTTAAGAAAGGCATTTGCAATGAAGAATTCATTTGTCTTTCTAAATTCTACCTTGTAATCTCCATCTTTCTATCACCAAAGTCATATTTTCCAAATACTGATTCTTCCTCCTTGTCCCCAGTGGCATAGCTTCCAGCATCACAGCAAGATGAAAGCCAGCCCAGTACAAAATATAACAGAGGAATGGTAGCATTTGCTACTTAGTTCTATTTTATCACTTAACTTCCCAGGGATTTGCAGGGGGACACATTAGAGAAAGTTGTCAAAAGTGACACCACAAAGTGGCAGGCATACGGTCTTTTCGATCCCAAGACCGTATGATTCTGTAAGTCTGTGTCATAGCTTGGAAAATTAAGTAGCTTCACTAGTAGACTGATCTTGCTGGTGTGTGACAGAGAGGGCCTAACTAACTGCTTACCCCTAGAGGCCAGGAAATCCATGAGCATTTCTTCTTCCCTTTCCCTAGCTCCCCTCCTTTTTTTTTCATTCACTCATTCAGCTATTTTTGTGCCTGTTATATGTCCAGCACTATAGGTTTAGGAAACAGAGCTTTCAGCCTGACAAATGTGGCCCTTATTTTTGTAGACCTTATCTTTTACTTGGGGAGTGAAACATTGAACAAATATTTTAGAGCCTTAAAAATAAATTGCTCTGTCACTGGTAAATTCTACCAAGTATTCCGAGAAAAACTGACATCAATTGTGCACAAACTGCTCTAAAATGAGTCGCCATTTAAGGTACAATGATTGTTGTCTCCTTGTCCCAAGGAAAGATGAGTGATGAAAATGAAAGACATGCAGAAACAATACTAGTCCAGTGTACCACAAGAATATCAGTTTCGCTGACTCAGAGACCAAAAGAAATAGATAGTGCCCAGTTATTACTCTCAGCTGCTCTGAAAGGGATCACAATGGGAAGTCCTTTATAGAGTGGGAGAGAAATGGGTCACAATGCAAAGTCTATTTATAGAGTAGGAGAAAATGTCTCCAAATATTCCAAATCATGAAATAAATGACCAGGTAGAGACTGGTGGAACCCCTGAGACTATCACCCCCATATCTCAATTTTCAGCCAAACAACAGGTCTAAAAGGAGAATGTTGACACTGGAAAGGTAAGCACAAGTTAGAATAATCAGTCATTTGAGATGAAAAGGGGAATATTTACCTATGGACAACGTCCAGAAGGTTTAAGACAAAAGAAGGAATAATGGAAACAGGAGAAAACATCAGGACAGCATGGATAAGTTGATACTTCATTGTGGGGATTGCAATGAATGAGAGGAAACAAAATGCATTTGAATTGTAGAATGGAAAACCTACTGCTCTACAAACTAATTCACAAATAAAACTAAAAAAAAAAAATCTTCTTTGTTTTCCAACCTCTCCTCAACCTTTCCCACCATAGCCTCAAAAAACCATGAGTGCAATCCCTGCATCAATACGTCTACCCATCCTAGATTTCATATACAGAAAACAGTGGAAAATAAAATGTAGAAAAACTAAAACAAACATGCAAAATGCTACTGTCTGTGATAGCGAGGCTATTCACACTCCTGGTCTGTGGTCAGAGGGCATTCAATGTAGACTTAATTCCATGTGCGGATCCTGTGAATGGGTTTTTGAGCTAACACTGTCTCCTAAAGCTTTCCGAAGACCAGTTGTTCACAATTTAAGCTCTGATACCATTCCCTTCTTTGGGTTTGGATTTCATTTTTCACAATCTTTGGATCACACAGGCTGGTGTACTTGCTCTGTGTATGTTCTGTTGACAGTGACTCATTCAGATGGCTGCTTGTTTGAAGACAAGCCTTTAAGATCCCAGACATCATTCTTCCTAATAATACCCAGACACCATCTAATTCCTTTACCACACTTTGCTGTAGCACCCATTTCTTCAGTGGTCTCTTCATGAAGGTTAGCTTCAAGCCAAGGAACTAATTTTTCTCAATTGGGACTAGAATTAAGTGTGAGCCCCAAATCTTTTAGAATGAGCTTTAAAGAGGGCTTACGTGGAGAGCAAATATTTTGAGAATGATGAGGGCAACGAATGGACAAATGTGCTTTACACGATTGATT